CATGGAGTGATCAATGCATTTAAATTATACCTAGTCTTGCGGAAAACATTTTCTATTAAAAGTAAATCATTCATTAAAAGCTAAAAGTCATCTAACTATATATATATATATATTACAAGGATTTAATCATTGATACGTAGTTAGAAATTACAAGAAAATGATCTCTTGTCGAAATTTTTAAAACGTAAGATAGATAAACAAAAGTTAATTGTAATTCTTAAAATGATGATTATTATCTTGTCTACTTTTAAAATAGATCAAATCCAATGATATTAACTCTTAAGAATTAATTAAAATTGTGTCATGAAAGAATAGATATACATTAGCAAACAAAAAGATATATATATCAATAAACTTCATGATATATTACTAAGTATTCGAAAACATAAGTCATATTTTCAATAGGTAAGATTGTATTACAGGCTAATTTTTTGAATGTACTATGATGACATAATTCACGATGTTTCGGTACAAATAACGTGAAGTACTTAAGCTACCAAAAGTATCTATAATAGACTCTCAGTAAAGCTCTTCAAACATATGATTTATTATAAATAAAAACAAGAACTAGATAACAATAAAATAATTTCAAACTGTGTCTAATCGACTCATATATAATATAAAACAACATTTTCTATAATCATCACTGAAGTCAATACCTCAATCAACAAGTTTTCTTTCGCGTTCTGTTCGATTTAAAATTGTGCTATATATATATATAATAATGCAATGGCATTATGACTGTACCGATAGATGGGAAGAAATATGTGAGCATTAAATAATGCTTCATTTTTCTTTTCTTTTTTTTTTTTTTGATTATTCAAAATTCGACTTCAACTTTATGTTATTCAACTTCCAATCATTCGTTATGTGTTGGTTTCTTTTCTTTTTTATTACACGAGTCGTAACAGTTTTCTTTTTTCTTTTCTTTTTTTTTATTCTTGTTTAATTTATTCGAATTATTTTTGTTTTCAAAGTATACACATACAACAGTGAACAAACCAAACATACCTATCGAATGAATGACTTCTATTCTGTTCTTATATAAAGCAAAGTGAATGGATATAGAGAATGCGAGAATTGTTTGTTGTTGATGAGGTGACAAAAAAAAAAGTTTTAAAAAGCAACATATAAAAAAAAGGAGAGAAAGAGAAAAGTTTATAGAATTGCTTTTTCAATGTCATTAATTTTAAAAGAGACACATTAAACATAAACATACCATTGTTGTTTGGTTACTACATATAGATAAATATCATGGTGAATTCTAAGAAAGCTATTTTAGAACGTTATCGTACATTATTAGAAAGTAATCTTATATTAACGGATGATTTAATTAATTGGTTAAAAGAAAAAAAAGTATTTCCTAATTTTGTATTTGATGATATTAAAGTATGTTGATTTAATCTTTTCTTCTTTTTTTTTGCGTGTGTGTGTGAAATTATGACATTGTTGATGTCTTGGTATTGTTTTTTCTTCTTTGAATATTAAATAGACTTTATCAACATCATTAGAAAGAAATAAAAAATTTTTAACTACTGTTATTGATACTGGTGATGTAGCTTATACAAAATTAGCTGAAGGATTAATTGCAAATGGTCAACCTTTTTTAGGTGATCTTCTTGAAAGTGAAGGTAAAATAATATATTCAATAAGAATATTAATTTTATTACGAATTTTTGTTTTTTTTTAGATAAAAAATCATCTGAATCAATTGCTGCTGATGCATCCGAACGTGTAGTTATTGATGATGATATACTTAAAAAATGTCCTGGTGTAGATAAATTACGTGCGGATACAAGAGATAAACTTAAAACATATCTTCAAGAATTAGTAAAAAAAAAAAACAACTAAAAAATTAATAAATTAAATACAATTTTTATTTCTAGTTATTAAAAGCATATTTAAATGATTCATGGAAAACTCAAAATCAAAATAAATCAGTTGAAGTTATTAATCTTAAAAGACAACATTATGAAACTCAACATAGATTAAATGAAACATTAGAAGAGTAAGTTAATTAATATTTCAAAAATTTCATATATATATATATATGTTTATATAGAGAAAAACGTAATATAATCACATTAAAAGATGCTCTTCGAAATGAACAATTTGCTCGACAACAAAAAGTAGTAGTTGTTTCAATTATTTATTATTGTTAATAATTATTAATTATTTTAGGAAGAAGAAATGCAAGAACTTCGTAATGAAGTTACACGACTTAAATCAGATTTTGAACAACGATGGTCAAGTCAGATTAAAATGGTAAAATATAAATAGTTAATGACATTGTGAAATAAAAAACAAGAATATTTTACTTTTTATTTAAGGTTGACGCAAATAATCGTAGTGTATTTCGAATGCATGATAAAATGGTTATGCTTACTGAATGGCTTCGTTCTTTAGGTATATTTTATATATTATTAAATTAATTTCAATTATTAATTTATAGATAAAATGTTAAAATCTAATATATTACAAAGTGGTATCGAATCAGATTCGATGGATCAATTACAAAATAAATTAAAACGATATTCAACTGAAATTGAATCTCTTCGTGGCAAAGGAATTGGTATTATTAAAAAAAAACAAACATATAATTTTATTTTTTTTTTGTTGTTTTAATTAAAAAAAAAAAAATAGGTACAGATAAACTTAAAGAAGAATTATATGAAGCTATATATACAAGTCGTTATTTACCAATAGAAGATCGTAAAAATAAACCATTTCATGGACTTCTATTACATCTTTATGGTACAAATCAAGTTGCTGAATTAGCAACAATATGTACAAAAGATGTTTTACAATCAAAACAAGAACGTGATCATGCATATGAAATAAAATGGCGTGATGAAAAAATTGATGGACTTACTATAACAAATAAAGATTTAAATATTGAAATTGAACGTCTTAAAGCAGCACTTGCTGAACAATCATCAAAACCTAATAAACCAGTATGGCGTCCTGTACCAACATCAGTTCCTGTAACACCACGTGAACCTAATAAACCACGAAATACATTAAAACCAGCTAATGTTCAATTTGGAACAAAACCAGGAGCTAGTTAATATCAATTTTCTTCATACACCGTTTTCAAACAACCCGGTGTTTGATAATTTTCTTTCTTTTTTTTTGTATTTGGAAAAAATAAAAAACAATTATAAATTGAAAATTTTCCGTTTTTTTTTTTTTTTTTTTTCTTTGATTTTTATTATATTAAGAAAACGAAAAAGATATTTTCTCTATTAATTATATTCGAACAATAATATATTATGTTCAGATTGATCAATTGTCATTGAATGATAAATAAAATATTTATTATCAAAATAAGTATGATAAAAAGAATTTAACAATAATTAAATAATATATTCTTGAATAATTAGTAAAAAAAAAAGAAATTCATTTCTTATTCGAATACTCAATCAATCAAATTTATAATTAGTTGTTATATGAGTCAAAATAAACTCGTTATATAATGAGAACGAGAGATATTATATTAAATAAGAATATCATTAATCAAAAAAAAAAAAAAAGAAATAAGTGGAATAACAAGAGAGAGAGAGAGAGAGAGAGAGAGAGAGAGAGAGAGAGAGAGAGAAAACAGAAAAATAACGAGAAATGCTTTCTTTTTATTATTGAGGACACATCGACCAACAATAACAATTGTATATCTACGTTTGTTATTAATCAATAAAAAAAGCAGACAACAAACGAATAATTCTACAATAACTACGAGGTAATAATGAATAAAGATCTTTATCAAAATGTTTCTTACATAGATGAATTTTTTATAATTATATATTTATATTCTGAATGAAAAAAATAATATTAATAATATCTTCTTTATATATTTCTTAGATAAATCGTCTGTATACAAAACTAATCATTATGAATACAACTATCATTTTGACTGGTATTCTCACTTATCTTTTAATTATGGTAATAATAAAAATTCTATTGTTGTTGTTGTTGTTTTCTATTTATTTAATTCATATTGTTTGTATTCTAGTTAACAATGACATATTCATTGACATTATCAAGTAAAACAACTGATGATGAAAATCATGAACTTAATGAAGAACCATTGGTATTATTACCATATAAATTTAATTCATTGTATGAAACTGATGGTTCAATGTTTGATAATATTGATGAACATGAACTTGAAAAACGACGTTTCAATGCATGGGCTGGTAAACGTAATCTCATACCAAAACCTCGTTTTAATGCATGGGCTGGCCGACGCTAAACATTACTCTCTTGCGCATATAATGTTTTCTTTTTATCTCTCTTTCACATCTTTAATCAATAAATTGAAAATAATCATATGGGCATGCGCCTCATCAGCCTAATGTGCTTCCCCATTTTGAATTTGTTTGTGTAGCTTCAGTCAAATATCGAACACAAAAAAAAAATTGTAAGATTTTTCTACAAATTCTATTACGTATATATATATTATGTTATTAATATTTTATTATCTAAACTCTATGACTTATTAAAAACAAAAATTACCAAATTTTCAGAATGTAAATAAAGAGAAGATCTACATTTTCATTAGCATTATATATATACTACAATTAATTAACCATATACGATTGAAGCTATTCAAACAAAATAAGAATTGAAGTATCAAATTGAATATAATTATCTATTGCACTTGAAAGTCAATTATTAATATGAAAATAATTCTTTATCTCCTAACTATATTATCAATAAGTATGATAACAATTAATACAGTGGAATGTAATCAAAAGACGATGAAAGAAAAACATTTATCTCTAAGAACTAAATGAATTTCTTAATCATCATCATTCTACACATTTAATCGAAGATAGATAACATTGTGTTAGCCCACTCTTATTTTTATGAATCAAAAAAAAGAAAGACATCATAATGAATGCAAATGCCTTTATCGGTTTTTATTTATTCATAATTAATTAAAAAATTTTTTCTCTTCTTTTTGATATATATATATACTTGTCTGGAAGGATAAAGAGATTATAAGAATGTATACAAAAAAAACAAAAAACATAAAGGCACAATTACTGTGAAAAAAACAACAACAACTAGACAATAAACCCTGTACACACACACTCAAAACAAAATGATAATTAACACAAACTTAAAAATTAATTAAAACAATGACACAAATACAAACTATATTAATATATATATATATAATAATAATATTAAAAAAAAAACAAATAATTTTATACACATGAGACAAAATATAACTTGTTATTATAGCCATAAAGAAAAAGATAAAAAGGATTAGGTCACCGTTGTTGAGCAGATCCAAACATACGAAAAAAAAAAACAAACAAATAAACGAAATGTGCATGCATAAGAAGATACAGATCGAAAAAAAAGAGAAAGAAAAACAAAAATAATGAGAATAATTAATAACATCCTTCATTCCATGATGATGTTGGTGACATATTATCGGGAATTTGTGGTCGAGTTATAGATGTTGGTGTTCGAATATTTCTATTTATCATCATACTATCTGATGATTGAGATGAAGGAATAACATTTGTTGATGTTGTTCTAATAAAATGAACAGCAAAAAAAAAAACAAAAAGAATTCTTAATATTTCAATTCAAAAATTATCATGCGATTAGTAAATTTTAGTTAATTTCTCTAATATACTCATGCCTATTTTTTTTTCTTTTTTTTTTTTTTAATATCCATTAATTGTTGTACGTCGTGATGCAAGTGAATGATGGCTGAAAACAACCATCAATTAACAACAAAAAAAAGCAAAAGCCGAGTACAAAAGAAAAGTCTTATCTTGCTTTTTTGTTTTTTTAGGTATTTAAACTTACCGTGTAGTCGCTGTTGGAATACTTGGTCGTTGTTGTTTACCAATTGTTGGTATACCACTTTTTCTACCTTGACTTAATGATGATGAACTACGTGGAATAGATGTTTGTCCATTATTTACTAATGTTGTTGTCATATCCATTGATGATGATGATGGTGGAAATTTTTCTATTGATGATGATTGTATTGGTATACGTCGTTGTGATACAATTTGTGAACGATTTGTTGTTGTTAATGGTTTATTACTTACATCATTTAATAAATTATTATCATTTGATGCTAATTGTTTAGCTGTATATGTTGTACCAAAATCATTTGTTGATTTTTTAATAGGTTTTTGTAATGTTGATTGAACTTTTGGATTATTATTATTATTATTATTATTATTATATGATGTTTGTGAACCACGATAATTTTGTAATGGTCGAGATACAGGTGGACGTAATCGATTTGTTGTTGATGAATTTGTTGATATAGTAGTATTTGTACGATTAATTGATGTTGATGATTTTGTATCGGTAACATCAGGTAAATTATAACCATTAGATATATTTGTTGATATTGTTTGTGTATTAGATCGACGATGATTATTTGGTTTAACACCATTTCTAAATAATATGTACATATGTATATGTTGATAAGAAGATTTGTTGAATATATATATATACAAACTTTGCTATAGCTGATTTAGGTACAACAGGAGGTTTATTTCCATGTTGATCTAATAAAATAAAGAATAATGATGGATTAAATAAAATAAAACTATTATTGTTATATACATTTGAGATTAAACAAATGCACACATATGTAGCAATGTGTTCAAAAGCATAAATACATAGAGAGAGCTTTTTTTTTATTCAATCAAGAATAATAATGAGTATCTCATTACATTTGAAAGATAATAAAAAAAAACAAAGAAATAAGCGTGTGTTATAAATTTGCTATAGACATATGACTTAACACTTTAAAATAGAGGTAGATAAAATATGATAAGAAAATATGTTAGTCAATTGTTCGATTTTTGTTTTATTATACTTTTATACGACATTTCATTATTCATCAACATTTATTATACTCTCGTCGAAGACATTTTTTCTTTTTTAGAAATATGAATAAAGAAAAATTCAAAATAAATTTAATTCATATAATTAAAAAACCAAAAGGTAAATTATTAAAAAACAAAAAATTTTTTTTAAATAATTAATTCTCTTTTAGATAAATTAACAACGGAATCTAATCAAATAAATATATCTACACAACAACAAACTTCGAAATGTTTCTATGCATTTGATAATTTAGCTTATGGTAATTTTAATAATATTAAACAATGATTTTTTTTTCTACAAACTTAAATTATAATTAAACTATTCTTTCTGTAATTTTTCAACTTTTTTTTTTTGTTAGAAAATACAAAAAACGTCATACTACTCGATCCTCTATTTCAAGAAGAAAAAAATGACCTTCCGAAAGAGTTTTCTTATTCTTTTTTGTATAAACAAACTCACTTGTTATAATAGTTATAGTAGTCGAACTGTTGGTTGATGCAAGCGAAACATTAGAACCGCCTACAAAGCACACAAAGCAAGCCAATAAAAGCATACAATAGAAAACAAAAGTAATAATCAACAAGATATTAGTAGAGCATCTATGTGCAAAGTATTAAAAAAAGAAACAAAAAAAAAAAAAAGAAATGATTATTGTACACATTAGTATGTGATAATAGACCTGGTGCATTATTGACAAATGTATTGTCAACATTATTAGGCAACAAAGAATACTGCAAAGAACTATCAGATAATATAAATGATGCTTCCATACAAGTTTCAAGTGCAGATGGTGTCACACGACCACTCCATTGACCTGTTCTTATAGCAGGTGATGTTGATCGTGGTGAAACTGTTGGTAATACATCTGTATATTGAGATTCAGTTACAACAAATGAATTTTTTCGTATTGGTATACGTCCACCGACATTACTAGCCGGATTAGGTGAATAACCACGTCTGGGTGTTAAATAACCATTATTACCAACAGGACTTGTATTACGTGTACCACCAAAAACGGATGATGGTGAAACATCACGTGAATCTGTAGTTATTAAAGTATTTGAACTGCCTCCTGAAAATGTATAGATTAACAACGAAAAAAAACAATAACAACAACAACAATGGTGCAGATATAATATATATATATATATAGTAAATATAGAAATGATAAATTGTTCATATCTTTTTTTTTTCACCAACTCGAAATCATATTACAATGAGCAAAACTAACATGCATTATCTAATAAGAATATTTTTAACATACCGAAACGTTTTGATAATGGACCTTGTCGTTCAGCTTGACGTAAATCTTATTGATAAAATAAAAAAATCAATATAGTTTTTTTTCTTCTTTTGTTTCTCATAATTATAGAATAATAAAATATTTACTTTCAAGTTGTACTTTAGCCATTACTATAAAACAAACAAAAAGAAAAAAGTGATTTCAATATATCAAACAATTTTATTCAACTTATTTATACAAGTTGAAGTGTGTAACATTATCGAAAAGTGATCAAGTCAAATATTACATAACTTCATACTCAAAAAAAAACTATTCTAATATTTAGGACCACTATAGGAGAATTTTGTTTTTTATTTCTTATTAATAATTACCTTCAAGATCAGTATAATCTAATGGTTCTCTTTCACGTTCTTTTGAAACGTCTCTTGAACGTACAGTATTATTTGTAAGTGTAATTGTATGTCGAAGTGGTGATGAACTAGCTGGTGATGTTGGTCGAGTATTTCCACTATTATTAAATATAGGTGTACTTGTACGTAATGGTGATATCATTCGACTACCATTTGTTACAGGTTCTATAATATATATTAAAAATAGAAAATTTTCGATCTTATTAAAATAAAATTGATTTTATCACACATCAAACAGGTAGGAAATATTTTTCATAACATGCTCGTTCAATTCGAATTTTTTCTTTTTTTTTTTTGTTGATATCATGCTAAACATCTTACTACTACAATGAGATAATTTATTATCATAATTATCAAGACTATCCAATGATGAACAACGACGTGTTAATTGTTCAATTAATCGACATTCATTAGTAATTGTTTGAATTAAAGTTGTATCATTTGAACAATCATAAAATTGTTCATTATCATCATCATCAGATGATTCATCATTAAGTGAATCATATAGAAATAAATCAAATTGATCATTATCTTTTTCTATACTATCTAAACTTATTGTTGATAAATATAATTTTTTTTGTGTTAATGTAAAAATTTCAGTTAGATAAAGTGCATTTTCAATTAAATCCGATGAAGATATTTGAGGATGTAAAATAAATATATTTTCATTATTTAGATTTATACCTGGATGAACTTGTTGTTCTGTTGAACTTCGTTTAAAATTATCTAATGTTTGATTAGGAATAAAATTATGACATGAAACACTTCGTATTGTACGAGCTAAAAAGAAAAAGAAGTTTGTTTTTTTTTTGTTATGAAATATGTTTATTAATTCGATTTATATCAAATAAATTAATTATAAGATTTAATAATAATTTGTAAATATGAAAGATATTTTCTAGTAAACATTTATAGATCTCATGGGAAACTTTTGATTTTTAATTAAATAAGATAAAGATAGTCGTTTTTATCCATGAGAACAGTTGTTTTTTTTTGATATTTGGAATTTCTCAGATTTATATCGAATTTTTAAGAGAAAAAAAAATGAAAAATATTCGAATTCAAAGAATACTGTCTGAAATGAATAAAAGTATATTTAAAAATTTTTGAATATATAATAATTTTCTTATTATAAAAGTATAAGATATTATATTTAAATAAAAAAACAAAATTTTTTTACCATGTGCCATATCATCAAGTTTACAAAGTAGTCGATGTTTAGTTGCATTAATATCATTTTCTTTAAATTCTTTATGTACCCATGAAAAAATATTATCTGATGTTGAATTATTTTTATTTTCACCTCCTGGTACTTGAAATAACCTAAAGAAAATATTATTCTTTGATCTTTAAAAATACAAAAAATTTAATTTTTTACCAAGCATCATCAGGTTCATTATGTTCATCATCAACATGAACAGTTTCAATTTGATCAAGTGATAAACCATCTATTGATGCATCATATTGTGCTTTACGTGAACGACGTTTTTTTTGTGTATTTAATGATTCTTTTTTACCAATATTTTTTAAATTAGTTTTTATTGTTATATCATTTTGAAGGCCATTGATATTATTATTACCCGTATTTGATTCATCTTGTTCATTTATTGAACAAAAACTTTCTGTCATTGATTCACACATACCAATACCATCAAGATTTAATTTCATTCCTCGACTACCATTACCACCACCAGAATCTGATATTCCAGATGTTGTTAAATCAGGAAAATGTAATGCATTTATTGTTGATGTTGTTAAAAGTGCTGATGGATCAAGTGATATACTTTGTGTCATATCATTATTTAATAAGAAATTTTTATCAGTCATTGTTAATTTGTATTGAACAAAAAAACAAAAAAAACAAATCCTTTTTTTCCTTTTGTATGTATCAAATACACATCACTTGAGGGACATATAAATCCTTCTTTTTTCTGCGTGTGTGTCTGTCTGTCTCGCATGTCATAAAAATACATTTGACCAATCATATAATCTTGGAATATTATCAAGTGACATCTAGTTTAATAAAACATATAAATGATATTTTAATTAGAAAATTTTCTTTATAATAATATATTAATATGAAAAAAAAATTTTTTTTATATTATTATTAATAATAATTTCTATTGGTTAAATATGATACATCACGTTACTAACTAACTAAATTAATTTATAATAAAAAAATTTAAAAAATAAAAAAAAAAAAATTTAAACATGCAAACAGCTGAAAGTGTTTGTTTATGGAATTATCAATATAAAAATAAAACATCTTATTTAGTTTGTACAAAAAATTTTTTATGTAAAAATGAATTATCATCAAAAGCAATAATTTATTGTATACAATGTAATTCATTATTATGTATTTTATGTGATAATGATATTCATAAAAATTTAAATAATAAAAAACATGAACGATTAAATTTAGATGAAATTGATAATGAATATTGTTCAATTAATCAACAACATCAAGCTATTTTTTATTGTTTAACATGTAAATTAACATATTGTTATATTTGTTATAAAAATTATCATCAAAAATTAGATCAACAAGAACATAAATTACAAAAATTTAAAGAAAAACAAATATTATTATCAACAGAAACTAATAAGTAATATTAATATTTTGATTCTAAATATATCAAATTGTTATATTCTTTTATGAATAATAATAATATACCTCTTTTTTTGTTTTGTTTTGCATGTATTATTATTCATAACATTGAAAAATTTATCATTCAGATTATTCTATTCAATAATAATAAAAGTACTTTAATACATTAAAATATGAAGTGTATTTTCTTTTCTATGATCATATAAAAAAAAAAATCATCTTGAAAATCATTCATTAAGAAATATATTATTCAAAGTATGAACAAAAAAAAAGAATGAGACATGAATATTTTTAACCATTGAATTTATGTCAAAAAAAAAAAAAACTTAACCTCTAAATAGAAAAGTGATTTTTTTCTTTTTGTTTTATATTTTAGTGATCAATATGAAACAAAATCAATTAAAATTATTCCATCTTTTAATATAAATAATGAGAATATAGAACCTTCGGCATATTCATTTGAAGATGTTCAAGTTAATAATAATAATGATGAAAATAATCTATCATTATTGAAACAAAAAGAAGATTCAATAGAATTACTTATTCATCAAAGAGATAGATCAAATTCTATACCGAAACAAGATAATTTTAATCAACAAATGTTACTTGAATCAATGATTGATGATAATGAAAATATTCAACAAAATCAATTTAATATTAATTCATCGAAAGAATTTTTACTTTTCGATGCTAATGAACATTTAACTGTAAGTTTCATTTACATATAAAAAAAGAAAAAATGTTAAGTATACATTTTTGTTTATAGATATACGTCATAAGCACTAAAAAGTACATCAAGGTTAAAAACTAGAACAGACATATCCTTGTCAAGATATTAGGAAAGGATATAAATAGTTTCAAGTGACAAAAAAAAAACGATCTGTCAGTCGGGGGAGAACATTTGTTTGTTAATTATATTTTTTCTAAATTAAAGACTTTTTTAATTAGAATGACTCTAACGTCAGAATAAATCATCTAAAAAATGATACTTTTGTAGTTTATTCTTGATATTATGTTCAATCGAAGTATGCTTTTGAATATGAACTCGATAAAAATTAAACGATATTCTTTATTGTTTATAGATCAGAGCTATGGGTCTTACTAGAACAGGTTTTAAGTTATATTGATCTGATTCTTATGTTTTATAAATTTGATTCTAGCAATAAATACTTAGATGAAACATTAATTTAGTATTATCGGATTTACATTAATTGATAAAAAGAATTTTTTTACATTTGAAACATCTAATGTTTTTTTTCTTTGTTCGATTTTGCAAAACATAATAAAGTTGTCTCTTATGTTTAAATTTCTTATTTCATTCAAGAATTTTTTTATTATATTTAATCTGTTCTTCATTGTTTTTTTTTATTCAATTAATAGATCATTATTCTTGATTAGAAACATGCAAAAACTACACGAAACTCAAAATGATAGTTCAATAATATCTATAATATAAAAAAAAAATTATAGGAATAGATTTTTTTTTTGTGATTAAAATAAGATTTCCCGTGAGAACAACATAACTGAAAATATTGAATCTCAGGATAATATTCTACAAATTTAATTATTTATCTAATAAAAATAATTTCTTTAGATAGATGATGAATTTGAATTTTTAAATCGTTTAAAATGTGAAAAAGATCTTCATGTAAAATGTGTATCAATTATTGGTAATACAGGTGATGGTAAATCTTATACACTTAATCAAATATTTTTTAATGGTCAAGAAATATTTCATACATCATCAACATCTAATTCATGTACATTAGGTATATGGACAGCATTTGATGAAAATCATCAAATAATATTATTTGATACTGAAGGTCATCTTGGTTTAACTGAAAATAATAATAGACGTAATAGATTATTATTTAAAATTCTTTGTATAAGTGATATTATTATTTATCGTACACGTTCATCAACATTATCAAATAATATGTTTCAATTTTTATCTGATGTTTCAAATGTATATATAAAATATTTTCAAAAAGAATTAGAAATAATTATGAAAAATGATCAAATTAATCAATCATTATCAACTATAGGACCAGCATTAATTATTTTTCATGAAACACAACATACAGAAATATTAAAAAGTTTGATAAAAAAAAAAAATTAAATTTAAAAAAAAAAAAGAATTAAATATAAAATTTAGATTATTCAGCTGTTAAACAAATAAAAGAACGATTTAAAACAATGAATTTATCTTATGATGCTTATAGGTTTGTTATTATTGTGTAAATTTTAATTAATAAATTTCTTGCTTTTTTTTTTTTAAAGTTCAATTGAATATGTTGGTATTCAAACAGTAGGAGAAAAATCATCAGATTTCAATGAAATTAAAGCAACTATTACAGCTATACTTGATGATAATAATAGACGTTTTCGAAGGCCTTTATCTGTTATTTTCAAAACATTAAAAGTATGACTAAGTAGAAGTTACATTACTTTATTTCATCATTAGTAATTTGAATGTTAGATATTATCAGTTCGAGAAAAAACTATAAATTAGTTTTAATAGGGAAGTCTTTCAATTGATGACAGGTGTCACATTTCCAGAAAAAATTGGAAATGGCAAATATGAGAATCACATCGTATATCTGTATTAATACAAGAGTTTGTTAATATGTACTTTTGCATCTGTGATACTACTAGAACTAATTCATTGTTATTGAGTCGAGATTACGTATATATCATATAGACCATAATGAGCTATGAAAAGAGTTTGGATTGTTAGCTTAAAACTGTGAAGATAATGCATTTATACGATATTATTTAGAAATAAATCGAAAGATTTTAGATATTATATTCGTAGCAATAGATTGAGCAGTCAAAAATTCTTTTCAAGATATTCATAAATCATGAGAGTGTACATAGTAGAGCCCGTCGGGTAGGATCCGGACCCGGTCGGGTCTGAGTCCGGGTCCGAGTCCGGGTCCGGGTAGAAAAATTTTTTGTTTACTGGGTACGGATCCCAGAAAAGTTCAACATAGCGAGTCCAGGTCCAAAAATGTTGGACCCGATGGGCTCTAGTACATAGTCTATTATCTAAAATCGGCTAATAAATCAGAAAAAATTTTCCTTCTTAAATCCAATTTATTCCGATGTAAGTCTCTAAGCAGAATTTATTTTATCATTAAAGTACAAAAATAAAATTTGATTCTAATTAATGAAAATATTCTAAAATAATCATATTTCGTTCTTTGTTATTTTCTTTTTTTTTTGTAATACAGAAACAAAAAAAAAACAATACTTATTTTTTCTTTTATATAATAGAAAAAGAAATGACATTGACCTTAACATAACATATAGACGAAAAACGAGATTAACCTTTTTTCTTTGATGATGCCATTCAAACAAAAAAAACAGATGAAACTATTTTTAGGCGTTGAATGAAAAATTTAATCATTTTATTCCTCCATCATTACCATCGACATTGCCTGATGATATTTTTGCATGTAATATAAAATGTCTTTCTTGTAGGTAAGTATTTTTAATCAGTTAATCTTCTTAATGTTAATAAAATATTTTTTTTTTTGAGAGCTAAATGTACAATAGTAGCAAATCATGAAAAAGATAATCTACCACATCAATGTAATAAACGATGTTCATATAATAAAGAATTAGATAATGAAGTTTGGAAATGTTTATCATGTCATTATGATGGACGTGATACAATTGTCTATGGAAAATTAATAACAAAAAATGATGGTCTTGTTCAAGGTTTACTTAAATATGTATGGTCTGGTTGTGTTATTGAATGTCCATATCATGGTGAAATTTATCGTTCAAGAAAACATTGGTATGGAAATAATGAACCAAAAGATGTTACATTTGTAGAAATAATTCATGTATGGCCTGATGATGATAATAGTCGTTTAGCTAGTGATGTTACACCAAGAAAATTTATTGAATTAATTGTTTATGCTAGCAGGTTTATTTTTATTTTTGATAATTAATAAAAAAAAAAACGCAAATATTTAAATCAATGTTGTGTGTTTTTTTGTTTTCAGTTATCTTTCAGCACCAACAAAATTAATAACAGAAATGGTTGCTGATCAAGTTGCACCATCATATTGGGTACCAAATAAATATGTTATTGTAAGAAACTAAAATATTCAGTTGAATAAGATAATCATTTTTGATTTAAAATCAAAAGCATCTATATCATTTTGTAGTATTTTTCATAGATTTTCAAAACATTCTGAAAAATAGTTTA